TGGAGGGGGAGGGGGAGGAGGAAGAAGAGGGGGTCCTTCCTACTCATCGACCGGAGCGGCCGCCACCTAGGTATTTCCATCGTGCGGTGCTGCCCTCGGGACCCACGGATTGGGAGCTACGGCTGGCAGTGCAGCATGCTGGCCTCCAGAGGTGTGTTGTGTTTCCTGTTGTGTTGTGTTGTGTTTCCCATGCTTGTTGGGATTGAACCAACAAAAGGCGAAAGGCAATGTGCAATAAAGCGTCGGCGGCGAGGAAGCTTATGCGAGTTGAAAACATTGTCCTGGAGTGTTCGTTTTCCTGGTGGGATGATGTGTGATGTTTGTGTGTATTACACCTCTTGAGCTGCTCTCCATCTATGCGTATCCGAAGGCAACATTGCCCAGTCCAAAACGCGCCTGCATGCGCGTGTGCATCTGCGTGTGCGTGTGTGTTCAGGGGCTTTGTTATCTGCAGCCAGGGCCGACATGCAGCCGTGTATGTATCTTCCTGGAGAGAGGGAGCTCTCACACGGCCCCGGACACGACGCAGCTCGGTTCCAGACGGCTGCATTTGTTACTTTGCTCCTTTGCACCTTCGCGGGGGCTTCTTCCTCTGCCCCTTTCTGTTGGGCCCCTGGTGTCGCCTTTGGTTCGGGCGTTGCCTCGGTTTGCCTTTTGTCGTCCATTTCGCTTTCATGTCGTTGATCTGATTGCTATCTGATTGCTGCTCTCCCCCTCCCCTTTTCCTCTTCCCTTTCCTGACCCTCCCGCTCCGCACCCCCCACGGCGCACCACGACCACGTTGGGACACCTGACCTGACCCGACCCGACCCGACCGCCCAACAATAACCACTCAGAGCCCTGCCGCACCTAGTCCATGTGCCCTGGCCCGAGCGGATCCTGGAAAAGCAGAACCGTTACTGCAATCGCCACCAGCAGCAGCCGCAACACCAGCAGCAGCCGCAATGGGGCCGTGCAGCCGTGCAGCGCTCCGCCGCCGCCCCCGCTGCGGCCCCCGGTCTCTTTGGCATTCTCGGCGACCGCCTAGTACGGCACGCCCATGGTACGGCCATGAGTGATGCGACGCAGCAAGAATACGGTGTTCATCTGCCGCTGCGTTCCGTGACTGAGGCATCCGATGACGACGAAGGCGGCGACGGAATGGTAGCTGGCGGCGGCGGCAACAGCCCCGACGGACTAGGCAGGGGGAGCGGCGGCGGGAGAGGCAATCGGGCAGCTGGTCGGGCGGGGGGGCCAGCGGGAGGGCAGGTTACCGTCCTGCGGCGCCTGCGGGAGTGGGTGGTGGCGGCGGCGAGGGGTACGGCGGCAGATGTAGGCCCCGCCGGCTTGGACTCCGACACGGACATATACATGGACGCACAAGCCGAAGACGTGGACGTAGCGGGCGGCATCGCCAATACGACCAGCCGTCGGAGCGGTTTCTGGCCTGGCATCGGCCTCGTCGCTGGCGGCGGCAGTGGCGGTGCAGCTCCCGTCAGGGACTTGGCCACCCCGGGATATCTGCGGACTTCCGGAAGCAGCTCCCTAGGACGGCGGGTTGACGCCGAGGAGGAGGGGAAGGAGGACGAAGGGGAGAAGGAGGAAGGGGAGGAGCAAGGCGGGCCTGACGTTACGCTGGAGTTGCTACGGGAGGATTTGCCCCCGCGCGGTGGCGATGCGGCGACGACGACGACAAGGATGGCGGCGGCGACGGCGACGGCGGCTTTCCCCCCTGGATCGGCCGCCCCGCAGGTCTTCTTCGCCGCCGACGCCAGCGGTGCCAGCAGCGCCGCGGGGGGGTGGGCGGCCCGTTTGCAAGCGCTAGCGTTGTCGTACCTGCATTTACGGAGCCCCGCGGTCGCATCAAGGATGCCGGTGGACTCCCAGGAGTTGCTGCTAGCGTTGAGTCAACGAATGTCGCTTCAGCAGCATGATGCCGAGGAGGTGGAGGCAGGGCGGAGGGCGCAAGGCGCCTCTGCCACGACTGGAGCGGCTGGGCCGGCCGCGGCTGCCTCGACATCGTTAGCATTGAAGTCCGGCGAGAACGCTATACAGCATACGCGGCCTCTGCAGCTCCTGCCGCCGCCTAAGCTGCAACGTCGCGGCGATGCCGTGCTAGGCGCAACGCTGGCTGCTGGGAGGTCCGCGGCTGTTGGCGGCGGCGGCGGTGGCAGGGGCTGCGTCGCTGCCGAGGCGCAGCGGCGGCGGCAGCGGCGCCACCTGCGGGCGGTGCATCGGGCCATGCAACCGGCACTATACTGCCCGTACAGAAACAGCGCACTTTTCATTGCGCTTGAGGCGTGGGCGGGCGTTGGGGCCAGCAGTGGCGGTGCCGGCAGTAGCAGTAGTGCTGTGCCCCAGGTCGCCGCCGCCAACGCGGCGGCAGCAGCGGCAGCAGCTCCAGGCAGCGGCGCGGGCAGCAATAGCAGCAACGCGGGTAAGCGACTAAGCGCCCCTCCCTGGCGCTTAACTGCGCACTCCGGTAGCACTGGGTAGCGCCGTCTTATGCAGCATGGTTGCCGCCAAATCCAAAGCCCGCCTAGGGGGGAGGTTTCACACATCACTGACAATGTCGATCAGGCAGGACTATCGTATATAGGTTTCCCATCGTATGGCCCTTGCCGCCCATCCATCATTGGCATGTGTGTCTTGCTGCTGGTCAACAGACCTTGCTGTTGTAATCCCCCCCCAAAGAAGAAGTATTGTTGTAATGATGCTGGCAGCCGGCGTCTCCCAGTCCTTTCCCATAAACGAATCGCAATGGCACAATGGCCCATGTGCCGCACCGCCTCTCACGCTCCTTCGCAGGGTGCTGGCTGGTAACGCATTACGACCACGAGCACTTGTGAACGGCCCCGCGGCGGCTGCCACTGCAAGTACATCCGCACCCCGCTGGCCCCTTGCCAGCACCAGGGGGCGGGGCCGTGCGCCGGAGCAGTGGAGGCCGTCGAAGGAAGGCGCCGCGCCCTCCGCCCGCCCTCCCCCCTGTGCCTGTGTGTTCGTGGCTCGTCTTTCCCCCCTGTGCCTGCTCTGTCTGCCGGTTCCTGACGCCCATGCCCCCTGCCTTGCTTTGGTATATATGGGCTGGGCGTGGCTTTATGTATCGGTACATATATAGATGTATGTATACATGTATTATACATAAATGTGGTAAAGTCGTCTCCAGGTTAAATTATGCCCCTTGGCAGCGCGGTAGGGCAGAGTAGCAGGGGTTACCTGTCTTGCCTTGGGCGGTCTGGGGCTGCAAGCGGGAGTGTTCAGATCGACGTCTACCGTTAGAGCAGTAGGAGCGTTTTTCATCACGGTGGCGGCGGTGCCGGACGTGTGGCTGCGAGGCCACAGGTTAAGGTATCGCTGCCTAGGCAGAGGGCAGATCCGCCAGGCAGGAGATCTGATGGACACGGCAGGGCCGTCCGGCTCGCGATATGCGTAGTAGTGGTTGAATGCTTTGGGCCACCTGGTGGGGGGGAGGTTGGGGGATTGCGGGTGGGTCGAAAGAGGCCTTGTGAGGATATGAGGCGGCGGCCAGAAGCCGCCCGACAGGCTTATATGCGCAGGGTGAGGGCGACTGATATATAGAGATATGCAGAAGCGAGAGGGAGGGAGGGAGCGGGAGGAAGGAAAAGCTTGGAAGGTTGGAGCCGAGCCGGCGGCTGCAGCAGCCGTACGAGAGGAGACGGGCATGTGCTGGGAAGTGGAGGAGGCTGCATCACATTGCGCACAAGAAGACAACATCACTTATTACACGTAAAGGACGACGACGAAGAAGAAGAAGGGAAAGAGTGGGAAACGTGCATGGCATGGCTTGTTGTAGTGGTAGTAGGAGCCCCATATCCACGCTGTGTGGCAGCGCAGCAGTGAGGTGGGTGGAGATTCCAGTCCTGGACGTCCGGTCTGGAGGACCACGTGGCGGACCACGTGGCGGACCACGTGGCTGTATCCACATGCACCACTGGCCCCCACCAGAACGGATGCACGATGCCCAGGCGCTCAAGCAAATCAGCTGTCAGGCTTGCTCAGCTAGGAGCGGCTCCCGAGGTCCTGTAACGACAACCGAAAGCGGTTGTCTGTTGTTAGCGAACTGAGTGTCGGTGGGTAGGAGCCATCCATCAGGTGAAGACAAGTGGCTGCGTGCGTATACGATCTGGAGGTGTAAAGATTGCTCGTGCGCGATATGCTCGTATGCATATCCGTGCACACGCATGGAATGATTTGTCATGAAACGCCTTTCTGTCTTTTTCTGTTTATGTGGGAGAGAGGAACAAAGACTGGCGTTGGCATATAATGGATTGCGTACTGAAGTTTGTTGGCAGCATTGAAGATATAATTCGTGCGTTCCTTACTTTTTATGTGTGCACATGCGCCCCTTGGTTGGTTGTGTGTGGGGTTTGACGCGGAGGCTTTTGTTGACGCAGAGTAGCGGCGCGAAGATGTTGGGGCTGTTGGGGTCCGGAGTTGCCACTTCGCAGCTGACGCAGGCAGATGGTCGGGCACGGTGCGGTAAGGGACGGAATGTGTGGGTGGGGGGTGGGGACCGCGTTGGGACGTCTGCCTCGGAGGAAGGAAGGTACATAGTCGTACATGATGACAGTAGACGGAAGTATTGTTGGTTTGACCCACGGTGAAAGTGGTTGTTTGTTACGGTTGATGAGAACGCAGGTGTCTTACGCTGTGTTTATTTACCTGGGGGAAGGTGTTTACTTTGTAGCTGGCAATCTGGTTTTACCATAGACCAACCAACATGTTTTCTTTCCACCACCACGCATCAGGTATAGGTACAGCTGTAGTTTCGCTTAATCTGTCCTATGAATTTTCACTTGGTACGAAATAATCGTTATAGGATGCATGAACATGCTTCACCAGGTAGGTGGTATAGCGAGACCTGGGGTCGGCAAACGCCGCTGGTACAGCGGGTCCTTCCGTTGTACCCGTTGCACAAATTCAACTCTATTCTTCATCGCTGGTACGGCAGCCGTGCGGCAGGGTGCAGAAATTCCCCCCAAAAGGCAGGTTTGCGCAGTAATTGGGCGCAACAAGACAACTGTGGCTTTAATAGCGATGGTGTAACGTAGTAAGTTTGGTACAAAGGCCCGCAGACACTCTTTCCTCGGCTTTTACCAAAAAATATTTCCATACACTTATTCGACCCTGGCACCAGTACCTCTGAGCGAGACTGTAGAACATGCATGCGTACTTGCATACTTGTGGTTTGTTTATTAAAGCACATTTGCAAAATGACCTGTTGCTAGTAGTATACATGTATGATAACCAAACTACACATCATATTGAACTACAATAATCGTACAGGCATGTAATGCGACTTCGTTGTTTACACAGGATATTAGTTCGTCATGCCCGCGTCAAGAAACATACATCGCATTACCAAGTCATCAGAACAAAAGCAGGAAAGAGAGGAAAAAGCTCTAGTCCTGGACACGGGCCAATATCTTGAGCTATTCTTGAAGAGCGGGGGTTGGAGGAGGCAGTTACAGCTATAGCCCGGGATACCCCGAGGAGTGCCACACAATACACCTCCAAACCGAGTCTGCCTGAATCATCTAATTGCATATCGTCATATGCCTCACTTCCTTCCTTCAGGTCCTTTCCCCTGTCCCTCCAACTATGGACATGCCCACCTGTATTTTGGTGATGCCTGCAGTACGCACATCCAGAGTGATGTGGCGGTGATGGCCAAGACAGCCATCAAGATCGTGTTCAGGCACTTCGTTCATTCCCCAACCATAAACACCCCCCTGTGTTTGGCAAGGGGTTTAATGTCTTTGCGACACACATAACAGTCCAAGGCATCATGGCTGCGCCGCACGCCGCATGAAGACCTCTGGAACAAAGAGAATGAAGCCTCGGAGCCTCACAACAACCCGTATCTAATCGACGATAAGCGTTCCGCTGAGGGGGCGCAGATACCGCCAATGGCGCATCTGGCTACCGCAGAGCGATTGAACCCTACATGTTACGGTCCCTTCTCAGCACACGTGCACCACCGAACTCATATCTACTTCTTTTCCTTACTGCCTGTCTGTCTTGCCCAGCTCGAACTTCCAGATCAACAACTAAACACATGCAGCGGTGTTACCTTGTGAACGCTCTCCCTTCCACACGGAAGTCATGTGCAGGTTGTAGCCTTCCTTAGCTATGCCACGGAGTTCTTACTTTTTCGCAATTTGCTCATGGTCCTCTACCTGCAAATGGCCCAAGTCTCGCGCTTGCCCCTGCCCCTGTCCCTGACCCAAATCTGCGGATGGGGCGCCAGCTGCTAGGGGTGCAAACGCCTCCTGCTGCTGTGATGGTGCGGTGTCAGCGGCGGCCGTGTCAGCGGTGGCAGGGGACATGATACCATCGTTGCCGCTAACCGGCCCCGGCTCCGGCCCAACATCGTGGGGCGCCGTCATGCTACCGGGTGCCATGCTATCGGTTGGCGCCGCCATGCCGCCGGTTGGCGCCGCCATGCCACCAGTTGGCGCCGCCATGCCACCGGTTGGCGCCGCCATGCCACCGGTTGGCGCCGCCATGCCACCGGTTGGCGCCGCCATGCCACCGGTTGGCGCCGCCATGCCACCGGTTGGCGCCGCCATGCCACCGGTTGGCGCCGCCATGCCACCGGTTGGCGCCGCCATGCCACCGGTTGGCGCCGCCATGCCACCAGTTGGCGCCGCCATGCCACCGGTTGGCGCCGCCATGCTACCGGTTGGCGCCGCGGCAATCCTCCCAGTCCGCGTCGTTGCCGGCTGCATTCCCATGACCCATGGGTCGTTCGACGTATCGCGTAAGGGCGAGGCAGTAGCAGCTGTGGGCGCGCCCTCTGAAGTCCAAAGGGACACGGGCGCTGCTTCACCTCCGCCGTCCAAGCTTACCGTTGGGGCGACGTTGCTGCCGCTGCTGGCTTCATTCGCTCCTAGCATCGCGGTGGTGGCGGAAGCCGGCATGCTAGGCAGCTCCGCCCCTGCGCTCAGGCCGGGTATCATCTGGAAGCTCGCAGTGGGCCCTGACGCCCCCTTTTCCACATCGTCGAGGAATGACACTTGGGGCTGTACTGCGGAGAAAGTCGTCACGGTCACATCCGCGGCGCCAATAAGAAAAGTTTGGGTGGTGACGGTTGGCGCCACGGTGGCGGGGTCCTCGGTAGTACCAGCGGGCTGCTGTGGTAGCGCCGCGGGAACTTCCAACGCCGAAATCGCTGGCTGCGGCCCCCCCACAACCTCGATGACGTCACTGAACGTCTCCATGAGTTCCTCATCTGTAGGATGTGGTGTAAACTGTACGGCAGAGGCGGCGACAACGGGCACGCTGACTGCAAGGTTGCTGCTGGGACTGCCCTTGCTGATGCCCCTGCTGCGGCTGCTACTGCTGCCATGGCTGTTACTGGTGGTGGTGGAGGTGGTGGTGGTGGTGGTGCCATTTGGGGGCGAGGTGGGCGAAGAGGAACTGGGTGACAAGGAGCCGGACAGTAGCCAGTTGCCGTACCTTACATCGCACGGGTCACCCCCGTGGCCGAGGAAGATCAGCAATCATGCGAGGGAGGCAGGCAGGGGGGGTGTTCATGGCATGTCGGGGCGACAAGGGCGATAGTGAATGAATTCGTGTTGAAATGGAGCTAGATTGCGTATCACTCGTTGCGCGGATCACCCGCGCTTGAACACTGTGCAAATCGGTTGCATTGCGACCAACAACACTGACGAAATGATGTGCTGAAGGTTGCCTAGGTTGGAAACCTGGCGTTCAGTTTGATTAGGAGAGCCTGACTAGTAAAACTTCACCGATGAGATTTCCACATTCCTTGAGCAGAACGATCCTGTTGGTGCGATTACTGAATTGATATTGGTGTCCGAGGTGAACTGCCTCATGCTGCAGCAACATAATCAGGAATGGCAATCAGGAGTGCCATAGTAGTTCCTGGATGGCTTGGATGGTGGTTGGATACCCTCCTACATCGGTAGGGCAGTGCTGGTTGGGCGGGCGCACCCAGTCGTTTCCTACAGGGGAGCGGAGGTGCTCGAAAACACACACCCGCTCAGGTGTACCCGCATCTGTCTGCACTGTCTGTAGTTCACGGCGCGTTTTAGGAGGTTGGCCCCAGTGCCCCGTCCCTCATCAAAGACACATGCCCGACATTACGCCAGCTTAATGTAATGACACCTAGGTGGTGGTGGTGGTGGTGGTGATAGTGGTGGGGCACTACAAGTGCCGCGTCCATTTCGAATCCTTTTGGCGATATGAGGTGTGTGTGTGTGTCCATTCACCGTGTCATTCATGGATAGCGTATATCGTATATCGCGTGTCACTTCCCACGACCTGGTGGGGGGCCCCCAGAGGCTGCACTGCACGCTGTGCGCACAGTTTCGTGGGCAATACCAGTGCGTGCATGATCGCATGGACCCCGGCTCGCAGCTACCCCGGCCGCTCACTTGTCCTTGCCAGCGAAGTTGCGATCGGGCGGGGCGGAAGAGAAGTCGCTGTAGGAGCGGTCCTGGTTTGTTCCCAGATGTCGTTTGTACGGTGTTCGGTGTACGGTGTACGGCGGTACGAAAGGGTGTTAAGTATCCTCAAGATCGACGTGTGTATACATCATGGGCTTATCACACCTAACCAGCAACAACCCTCAACGACCCAGCCCTAACGAGCTGGTGTTTCGGAGTCATGGCCACCTCTATTGAGGCCACGTATTTCAACCTTACCTTGGGGCTAGCACACCAGCACTTCTGGTGCATGTACTTTTGGCCCTCAGTAAAATCCTCCCACCGCACACCTGTGCATTGCCAGAAGAGGATGAGAACACACACCGTCGCGAGCAGCGGTTTCCCCAGCGGCAGCTGGAGTGGGACTGCGGGACGTTCCTGGATTGTTAAGTGGCCCTTAACTGAAGCGAATGGAGTGAAGTGACCCTTGGGTCGCTAACCCTGGTTGGGGGGCCCTATCCTCTGATCCCAATGCGCGGTGTCGCGGGACACCCCAATCCATCTCTCGTACATTACCTGTATCATTACGGACCTTGATGAAGGTAACGTTCAGCTTATCAGCGTACTTGCGGTTGTGCTCGGCATCGTCTGCGTCGTACATACAGTCGTACAAGCTCAGTTGCATGACAATATAATGTTCCATGCGACAAACAAACACATACGCATATTTTGCCGAGCTGATGCAATTGTATTGAAGGATCCGAATAGTGCTTTATTGCATGACTACATGCCGACACACAAGAGAGAGACATCACAGAGGTTTCCTGCTCTCTGGTCTAAGGATTCCCGGTAGTGCAGTGCACCGCAGTCCGTTGTAACCCAAGTGGTCCTACCATGCCCGGGACTCCCTCACATCAATGTAATATCTACTTCTGTAGAAGTAGATATGCGGCGGGGTTCCATGTCTATTCTTGGATCCTTATTGCTCGGCGGCGGCGCTGCCGATAACATTAAAATGTTATTAGCGGTGGGAGTGGTAGCTATTGCGGGTAACCAGCAGGCACTCACAAGCACTCATTTACACGGCTGAGTTTTGACCTGCAAGTGAAGAGAGGCGGCCAGTTCCTTTTTTACTGCCGCTGTTCCTGCTGCTGTTGTAACTCACCGAAGAGCATCATGCACTGCGGCTGTGTGTCGTAGTAGCGGGCAATGTTGTTCAGTGATATGGACTTGTTGAACCAGTGGTACTGAAAAGCAGTGCTGCTGAAGAACTGGCTCCGGAGGTGGAACAAGTGACGAAAAAAGGGGGGAAAGGGGACAAGGCAAGCGGCGGATGGTTGGAAACAACGTGAGGAGGATTCCGGGAGGCCAGGTAAGGAAGCAGTGAAGCAGTGAAGCGACCAGCCCTGCCTGCTGAGCTGCTGCGTGCTTCTGTGCTGGCGGCTGGTGCACACTGACAGCGGATAGAAAAAGATTCCGAACAAGACCGTCCACATATACATTAAATTTCCCTGTGCAGAGAGAATTTCAAAGCTTGAATCTCCACAAATAGTTTAATGCGTGGAGGGAGGGGTGTATGGATGTGAGATAGGGATGGAGTGAGAGGAGGGAGGGATGCCCCGCCAGGTGCGGTGTGGCACTATCCATATAACTCTCTTAAAAGGCAAAAGTCAGAGCTCCAACCAGGTGCAGGTCCTATCTCAGTGCTAATATCAGCCTCGGACCTCTGCACATGCAAGCCTCTTGCCATTGCCATCAAACACCAGCAGCCCTATCAACCCTGTCACCCCGGCTCTCCCACCCCACGAAAGCTCACCTCGGGTGTGAAGGTGACATTGTCGACCCGCTCGCTGAGCACCTTCATGGAGGTGCGTGTGAGGGTGGGGTGGGGTGGGGTGGCATGTGCGGTGTCTGGCGTGGTGTTCCATTAAGAGGATAGAATGTGCACCGGAGCTCCCACATGGGCAGCAACGGATCTCCCACGCGCATGGTGTGCAAAGCACCCCGGCTGTGGAACACAGCGGGCCACCTGGCGGCACGCAGCTGCACGATTGCTGTCATCGCCGTCACCTGCTGCACATGCACATATTCCTGACCAATGCAACTACTGCCCTGCATTTATCCGTTTCTTCCCCCATCACTCCTTCCCGTATTCCCAGGGGCGAGCCCCAGTCCCTCTGCCAGATCTCCATCCACGACAAGCTGCACCCATGCCTGATCCAGCCAGTCCGGGCCAACCACAGCCCCTGGGGACATCAACATCAACCCTCTTTGGGCCTCAGTCCAGTCGAGCGCTGGGATGCATGTGGGTAGCAGCAGGCAGTGGCACAACATGGCGATCCGACGGGTTCCTTGGGGGGGGGCGTGTTCCTTCCGACTTCCCCGCCCTGGGGCAGCAACAACACAAAGTGTAACACACCTTCTGCAGCTTCTGATAGTTATCGTTCGCGCTCGCCACGCCAATCTCCCACCCATACTCCTGGAGGTATCGATGTGTGCGCCAGGAGGGTGACATGATGGCAACGAAAAAGGGAGCAACGCCTAAGACCCAAAACGCAGCTCGAATAATTTGTATAAATTACCCCTTGCGAGTTCAGGGGGGTTAAGCTATCTCCTCGCCGACCCAGCGCCAATGAAACATCTCTTAGGTGATCGACAAGTTGCGGATCCTTGCGGCGTGCCACCGGGGTATGTATCGGGAAGAACATCGCTTCGGGTGACATGCTATGCATCCAGTTTACATTTTTGCCATGTTTTCCGGGTTTCAGCCGCAGGCAATCCGTCCGCAGCGGAGGAAAAGAGAAAGACAGGAAGTAAAGTAAAAGAGTAGCATGCAGCTATCCAGCAGCCAACTTTACTGAGTTTTACTGCCGTACAGGGTTTTACTGCCGTACAGTACACATGTGACTTGCATGTGATTCGACGGTTGAAACTTCGATGCCGCATGTATCACAGCTAACATTCCCTTGTCGCGCGGTTTTCCCGTGTCGTGTGTTTTCCTGCATCTTACGGACCAGTACGTACATGTGGGTGCAAATGCGATGATGACCATGTAACACTAGATGGCGATTGCACGTCCTCCGCATCCCATCCCGGCGCCCGTCCGCACCTTGCACTTGCGAATAATGCCCTGCCCGTCCTCGGCGGGCACGTCGAAGTCCTTTTTGTCCTTGGAGATGACCCGGAGTGTCTCGTCGAAGTCTTCCACAGATGAGCCAGAAGGCCCGCACGCACGAACGAACGAACGCCGGGGTCGATGCAGTTTTTCCGCATGCAGGGCCAAAAGCACGGATGGCGGCGACGGAGGTGCCAACGAGGAAGAAGGAGACGAGTTAACGATGAAAATGGGAAGTGAAGACGGAGGCCCATTACCCGAGTTAACCAGTCCCAATAATAAAGCAGCGCTATTTACAATACTAATCAGAGCTAGGGGGCAAAGGGGAAGTAAATAAATCTGAATGTTTGGGACTTTCCGATTCGTGGCTGTCCCATGCACTGTCTGGAGGCCAGTGCCCTGATTACGCAGGATCAGGGAGTGGCAAGCGCCACTGACTCAGTGGGTCCTGTGGTCATACAACATAATTCAATCAACAATGCCAAGCAAAGCGGCGATCGGAGCAGGCGTACGTGTGAATCCAAGCAAGGGCAAAGGCGGGGCGCGCCGTGTCAACATCATGTCCACCGCCTTCACGGCGTTGGAACGGGATCGCTGCCTTCCAACGCGGCCGCGCTGATCTGTGCAGCTTTCTGAGAGTGTGAGGCCCCGTCTCGTGTCTCGTGGGGCAAACAGAAAAAAGACATCAGGTATCCTCCGGGTAGCAATCCACCAGTCAAATGCTAGTGCATCGCTTTGTGAGCTTATAAACTGTGTTTTCAAGTTGGGCTCAGCAGGGCCGACGGCCGTGCACGTGCGTGGGGTTTTTTCTACAAGCAACAAGCAACGCACTGGCTGTTGGTGAGCAGGCAGGACCTAGCAGGCAGGCGATACCAGACAGGCACGCTAGCAGGCAGGGAGTGCGAGTTATTGGTAAACAGCTTGGCAGGTCTCTAGTCTGGACAAGCTGCAGCCCGGCAGATATACATCGCCAAGCAGGCAGTTAGGCAGGTGGTCAGGTAGGCAGGTAGGCAGGCTATGAGCCCCTCGCTGCACAGGCTGTCAGCAGGCAGACAGACAAACAGACCACACTCACCGAAGACACATACGCACGTGTCGTAGGGCTTTTGGGCGGAGGAGGAGCTCCTGCTGGAATCCGAGCCGGTATCCAACATGCTGCGACTCCTGCGATGTAGCATTGCGCCGCCGCTTCCGCCATCGCCTGCTGCCCACCCCCGCATTGCTGATTTCCCCAGCCCGCCGTTTGCGGCGGTGCAGGGTACTGGCAGTGCCAGTGTCAGCGCCGCCAGGCACGCTGCCGCCGCCACCGCCATAATGGCCCCGGGGTATCCGCGGGCAGAGCGCTCGTGCCGCATACTCAGGTACCGAATCATAACCAGGCACAAAATCACCATGATGCCAGGTGAATGACCTGCAGGCTGCTGCACGAAGTGAGGTCTCCCGCGCGCGAGGGAGTACTGGTTGAGGCGAACACAGGCGGTTGCTTTGCGCGGCGGCACCGGCACGGGAGCCCTAAGGGCTGCAGCAGCTCTAAGGCTGCAAGGTCTTCCCCTCTGAAGCAAGCGATAAGTTAAGGCCTACACGAAAAGAGAAGAGAAAAGAAAGTAAAATTCAAACCAAAATCTGCGCATCTGTATGAATACACTATGAATTTCTTCCGCCCTGGGCCTTACGACTAAGGTAAAAGCTGCTGTAGAGCAGGTTATTGGCGACTGAGGACGTCGAGGCGGCGAAGGGCTTCTAGGCCCAAGGCAGGAACTTTGCCCGAGGGACGCTTCGCCTCTTGTACTGTTCTTCCATTGGAGCGCTGTGCCCAGCTTCATAATAGCATGGAGGAGGATGTGCTATTAGTGGCCGCAGTGCCTGTCGGGCCGGATGCCCAAGGGCTCCATACTTTGGCTACAACATCGAGAATCTATGCCCAGGCGGACGCGGGCGGCGCTTCAGCCCATATTTAGTTGTGACAGCTGCCTGTCAGCTGGTCACCCACCCAACTACCCATCTACCCAAGTCGCACTGTGCGGTCCCGATGTATGGGACTTGGATTCGCCTCTAATTCACCTTTTAGATGTTTCCTGTGTTTGGAATGTATATGTACATATGTACATCGTATTGGGGATAACTGGGCATATGCACTGTTTTGTATATGCGCGCGTGGCATTTTGTGGGAGGTGAAGGTGTATACCGCGTTGCAGGGTGTCCTGCCTTCCTATGGCGAGTAATGTGCGGAGTATACCTGATCGTAGACGCGCTAACGTGACTGTTTACGGGATACGCCTGAGTGCCTGAGTCGGTTACGCGCATGTATATATCGCGTGAAGACTAAGCTGCGGTTGTTCTCAGGGGGGGAAACTGTATTAGGGATTTCCGCGAAAGCTCCGTTTGTGCATGGTACCGTACATAACTATCCGCGCACACTCCAACACCAAAGGAGAGCCATCGCTATCCCCCAAAACTGACTTGGGTCATCATATTTTTAGCTTGTCAATTGGGTCCACGGGTAGTCATGCGTAGTCATGCTCGCGCAGTCCGCCTTTCTGCCGGAGCGGTTGATAGGTGAAAATATTCTTTTCCTGCGACAATTGCCGTACCTTATGGCCAGGACAGGCCAGTCGTGTCTCCTGGCTTTTCTGTATGTTGCTAAAGCTTTTAATTCGTAAAGCCTTTAAATCGTAATTTTTTGTTTGAAGCAATGGATGCCACGGGCGCAGGAGCCGTTCCGATACAGCATCGATCGCGTTGGTTAATGCGTCCTTTCCTATCAAATTGCTCTCGCGGCGGGTGTGCGGCAGGGGGGTGTCCATTAGCACCTTTGCTGTACTTGTTTGTCGCGCAGGCGCTCCTGTGCTTTTTACAGCACAGTCGACTGGGGATTCGCTTACCCCAAACAAGTACAGAAGTGCTTACAGCGGTGCAATTTGCTGATGAAACGGAAGTTGTCTTAAGAGGGAATGGACGCAATTCCTGCTTTTCTTTACTCTCTCGTTGTTACAGGGTGGTTAAGCTTCACCAGTGGCCTCCTTCCCGAGGCAGTTCCCTGCTCTCCCCTGCTAGAGGGGCACCCTAATCCATTCACCCCATCCGACTTCAGAGTGTACTCTTTGAGTTTGGCAACTCACCACCGGCATCCAACCAAATCTAGCGGATCAACGGCGCGTCAACTTAGTTCCTGGTCAGCTCGTAAGTTGATATTATCACATCCTACACCGTCCACAAGATGGGGAGCCACCTCCCATTTCATCACCTCTCACACCCCGAGAGGCCGGCAGGCGGATTTAAACCCGGACGCGCCGGGAGTAGAAGCCAGGCCTCAACCTCTGCCAGCCGCCTGCCATTCTTTACTGTATGCAGGTGTACACGCAGGCCTCTGGACAGCAGCTTAATCTTTTTGATAAGGTTGAGCTTTTACCTGTCGGTATCCACCATACCAAGTGCAAATAATTCATGAAGGTGGTGCACATGGCTACGGTGCTTTTTAATTTGCCTTTTTTTACAGATGCAGGGGACACCCCGATCATGGACTGGGACGTACAATTGGACAGAGTTTGGACTCGATTCCAACGCACTTCGATGCTCAGGTGCCAACGCACCTCTCCATTTTTGGGCGTGCACAGGCAGCGGCCACCTATGGGCGGCATCGTTTTACGTGGCACATGGAGCACGGGAGGGGGGTTTCCCAAGAAGTCAAACTTATAACATAGAGGCGAAAGCCGCCAAACGTATTAATCGGGACCTGGACCAGTTTCAATGCGGCTGTCGCCGTGGGTCGTGGTCGTGCACTCATTCCTGCATGCCCTTTACCCGACGTACAATCACATGTGTCTATTTACGTCCCAGGTGTGGGTGCCTGGGTTTGGGGTGATCGTTCTACCGCAAGATGTTCAGCGCATTGTTACAGCGTTGGCAGATCTCCCCCCAGTTGAAGATGTTGACATTCATCCGTTAGTTCCTAATACGAGGTGTTGGAGTTTGCCTCTGTGGGGAAACCCTGTTCCTCCGGAAAAGGGATTGACTGTCCCGTCAGTTAACACTCGCCCAGGGCTGGAGTTTCGACACCAAGGACTCCTGGGCTGTAGGGCACTGCAAACGTTGGAGGATGTTCTTCTTGCACGGGATGCTCTAGACGTAGTTACGCATGCACCGGACCAGGCAGGGATAGCAATCCTAGCTCAAATCCCTTTGTACCATTCGAGTGTTTTAGTGCTAGTGTCGCTCTCTTAGCTGATATCCCGGCGCAAGGCGGCTAGCCTATTGTTGCCTCTCAGTGCAGAATCCAGTGCAGCTATGGTGAGGTCCTTTGAGTCTGTTACCCAAACTCTGGTGTCGAGGTTGGGTTGGCTGTCTAGGTGTCTGGTCTCGGTGGGTGTCTTGGTCGCCCTGATCGTCTCAGGTGCGCTGCACGGGCAGCTGGCCCGCGGCTCTACTCTTCGTGAGTGTGGAGCCCCCCCCCCAACCCCCCCCCAACCCCCCCCCCAACCCCACATACACACACAGAGGTCCTTTGCACAGAGGTCCTTTGCACAGAGGTCCTTTGCACAGAGGTCCTTTGCACAGAGATACTTTGCAAGAAACGGCTGGCGGAGGTACTGATGTACGCGCCGCCCCATGCTGAGCATTCTAGCTTTCAGCTATCCACAGTTTTGACTGTGCATACATGCGTCACAAGCGAGAACATTTCTTCGATCTCGGTTTTCCAGGTTACGATACTGTACCTACAATGCAAATCCACTGCATAACACATACTTTGCAAGAGTTCAAATATGCTTATAATTTACTGGCTTTGTTATCGTACTTGATGGCTAGTTGTTCACGGGATTTATGCTACCGAAGTACCTGTCTTAGTAATCCGGTCTCGAAGCCGTTTCCGGTGTCAGACTGGGTACAAAGCAAAACCAGAGAGTTATGTGTATTAGGCTTACAGGCTTCAATGCAAGCCCTCAAGCCGCACGCTGCCACGTGGTCCTTGACAGCAGCATATGTCCGCTGAAAGGGTGCATGTTGATTAAGTGCTCGTCCTGTAGTGTAGTACGGCAAGTGCGGCGCGGGAGGAGCAGACCGGAATTGGCCAGAGGACAGTGACTGATACGGTAGTGCGTTACAAAGATTAGCTGGGAACAAAGCGCTGAATCCAGACAACGCTAGTTCGCCAGTCAACCGTGCAAGCAAGCGCAAGTCAGAACGTCGTCTGTTGGGGATTTTGAATTGTTTAAATAGTGATTTACTTTGTATTCGGGACCCAGCTCAATAGTAAAGTAGATAAGGCGATTTGACGTTGCTGGCATATCGGTCTCCAGTAACAGCGAAGTGATGGCAGAGCGCGAGCAATCGCGCGGCGGAGGCCAAGAAGGCTTGGAGGACATCCTCCAACAGCGGGACGAAGGAGGACACCAGAATGGCGGAGCACCTAGTTACCCGGAGGGGGCCGATGCGGTGAGTAACAGACGCCAGCTATTGCTCCGCGCGGTCAGACTGTAGGCACAGCCAGCCGCCGCAAGTTCTGTTATATCAAAGGCATGGGAGAGACCGGACCCAGTTTTAAAATAGCGGGAAAGGGATGCGCCGCCGCTGTTGTTTGACCAGGCTGGATTAGAAGCTACGGGTCAGGCTTAGCTTATGAAGAACACGAATCTGTAGACCGCGAGTGGCCGACTCAGAGTATTAGTGCTCGTGAGGTTGGGTCCGTTTCCGGTGGATGGCGCCGCGGCAGAGG